TTTTTTTTTTGCTTTAATTTTTCTTCTGTCTTTTTGTTCTTCTCCTACAGAAACTGACTCCAAAGTTATAGAACTTTTGAAAGCTTCATTTGGTATCAGTTTATTTTTATTTTTATATATTTCATATTTTTATTTTTGGTTCAGCAAATAAAAGTATTTCATTCAATATAGTGGCTCCAAACATACAATCAAACCAAAATGCCAAATCAACACAATGCTCTCATTCATACAAACTCTGACAGCTGAGTTCATTAATTATAGACACATAAATCATGCAAAATGTATTAAATTAAACTTAAATTTTAATTTACTTCAACTCCATTCCCACATAAGACCAGCCTGATTCTAACTCTCGCTTTCTGGGATCGTTTCCCCCCAGACTGTTATCGCTACCAGAAGGTGGCATCCAGCAGCCTCATGGCTCTCCATGGCCCAGACACACAGCGCTCCTCCTGCCTGTGGCACCTCCAGGCTGCCCCCGGCTCCCAGCTGGAGCTCCACATGGAGTGGCTGCTGCCAGAGTGCCGGGACAGGCTGGTGGTGTACGACGCCCTCACCCCCAGTGATACTCACCTCATTACATCGTGAGCTTCATCCAAAGAATTATACCATATTGTTGACCAGCTGTATGGAAACAGACACCACGACTGTAGTCATTACATTATTGTAAGGGATAAAAAAAAAAGAACTGCCCATTTTATTCATTAAACACTGTCTCTTTGTCCATCTTTCCCTCTGTCCTGCCAGTGTGTATGGCTGCAGCAGACATGAGCGTGTTGTGCGTGTTCTTTCATCAGGCGAGTGGATGACAGTGGTTTGGAAACAGGGTCTGTATAACTACAAGGACCCCTTTTCTCTGGCTGCACAGGTCTGGGACCATCAAGGTAAGACCAACTGAAAACATGGGCCTTCTTTTTCAAATTTGGAAAGGTCACACATAGACTGAAAGCGAGACAAGATGAGGAACCATGCAAGACTGAGCATCTAAAGCAATGCTAGTGGCTATGAGAGGCTGTTCTGAGACACATTTGTGCGTTGAGCTAAATTCTACCATGGCAACATGACCACGACGATAATACTAACATGCCAGTGTTCAGCGGGTGTAATGGTCACATTGTTCACTCTTTAGCATGTTGACATGCTAATATTTGCTTATTAGTACAAAACAAAAAGTGAAGCTGGGTCTGATGAGAAGGCCACTAATTTTGCAGGTGTCTGGTCATAAATCTATGTGTCAGACAAAGTGAAATTCTTACTTGATAATGAGGCTAGAGGAAAGGAACCACCAACTCCTCCTAAGAGATTCATGGTGATCCCTCAAATAGTTTGACTTAGAGGAAAAGTCAGGGGAGACAGTGTCTGGGAAATCTTAAACATGTGTACAAAGGGCCCAGTGGTTGTTCATTATTCTTCTGTACAAAGGGCCCAGTGGTTGTTCAGATGTGTCAGTATGGCATTATTTATGCCTCCATAGAAATTCTGCCAAAAATACAGTCTCTGCAAGAATCCCCAATATAGACTATGTAATATCCTTTTGGACCTGATCAGACCAGTTTGTGTCAAAACCTGTAGGATCTGCTCTCAGTAGCAGGTTCCAGGCCTGGATACCAAAGTATTTAAAAAGACCTTTTTCCTCTGACTTTTCATGTTTTGTAGCTGAAAGTCACTGATGCCCAGTGTAAAATGTACAGTGTTTGTATTGTTCAAATAATTCTTTCTCTCCCAGAGTGTAACTCCACAATAGAACTGAGAGCAGTATTAGGAGTGCAGGGGACACTGAGCACGCCTTTCTTCCCCAGCTACTACCCTCCTGACACCAACTGTACCTGGAGCTTTATTGTAAGACACCTGTATCTTCCACTTCCTGGCTTAATAAATGACTAATTTGTTAATTGCATAACTTTTATAGGAGTTGAGGTGTTTACACTGTATTTTTGTATTTACTGTCCTGAGTGTGTGTTCAGATGCCCAGTGCAGAGATGGGCTTGTCTCTGGAGTTTGAAGGCTATGAGCTGAGCAGAGCCAGCTACAACCAGGCCTGTACCCAGGGACAGTGGATCATCCAGAACCGCAGGTAGAGTCTGGCTGCTCTGTGGAGAAAACCCAGCTGTGACGGTCAGATTAATCTGCAGCATGAATGGATCCGACACCATTTATCAAACATGTTTGACTCAGTCCAGTCTTATTACTTGTTGAACAGCACTGGCTGTACTGGCCAATGAGAGTTTAGCTAAAGAGGCAGAAAATAAATGCAAAGCAGATTACAAGCCACAATATACATTTTACAGTAGTATAAATTCTCAGCTCATATACACATAACTGGAGTTACTGTCATGAAGCTCACAGAGACTTTCATTTGTGACTTCGTGAAGGGTTTTATTTGAACATCCATTCGGAGCACTGCTTCAACAACTCACTAACATGGGCTTGTTCACGTACCTTGCTATTCAAGCATATACCAGTCCACAGTGACACCCTGTGGGCCTACACAATCATTACAGCTAAATATCATCACAGTTACCATTTATTTTCAGACTGTGTGGTACCAGGAGCCTGCAGTCATACAGCGAACGCCTCTTCCTGCTCTCCACGACGGTCACTGTTGTCATGACATCCGAGGTGCCGATCACAGGGCCGGGCCTTCGGTTCCACTACAGCGTCTTCAACCTATCAGATCGTAAGTTGTGGATGCAGGAGAGACACAAATATGGATAAATGGTTTGCGAAGTTAAGCTTTTGCTGCGTTTTATTTACGTTTATAGTTTTTGACTTGTGTGTGTTTTATAGCTTGTCCAGGCAAGTTTCTGTGCACTGTTATTGGCCTGTGTGTTCCTGCCTGTGATGGACTCAAGGACTGTCCCAACGGACTTGACGAGAGGAACTGTGGTACTGTATATATTTTATGTTTTAAATTCATGAATCCAGACACACTTTGTTATTCCTGGTGAAACAGGAAATTGGTACATGGCACAGGGCGGGTTGGACTCGTCAGTGTGCCGGTGCTCACGTAACAACATAAAAATAAAAACCAGAGCAGATTCTCTCTTGAACTTTTGGATCTACCAGGTTGCCAAAACACATCATTAAATAAAATATATGGTGATGTAGTTTGCATGCTTTGCTAAACAGGTAGTGTGGAGAGTTGTCTGTAGCTTGAAAATCCATCTTTTCCAGTGTATTGTCTCCAGTTTCCCCCGTCGAATATAATCAGATGTGTCAACATGTTTTGGATCTATTTATCCATTCATCTGTCCAAGACATTCATGTTTCAAATTTGTTTCAAACTGTGAGTGTGAAGCAGACTAATCCTGTTAATGCTGCACTTCTACGGTGACTTTCTGGTTTTATACAATAATCTAAATATTAGGCAGCTAAGTTCATATGACTTGGTGTGATTAAACATGTGGATGCATGTGCAAGCTGATACATTTCCTTGTGTGTTTCAGTGTGTGCAGCTCAGTATCAGTGTCCAGAGGACAGTCAGTGTGTGGACTACTACAAGGTGTGTGATGAACACCCAGACTGCCCTGAAGCCACAGACGAGATGAACTGTACCACTGGTAACACACACATGCTTCTACTACACAGAATATTTAATAGCAGTCTTGGGACTCATGGGTAAAGCTACGCTACCTACCAAATATGAAAAACGCTAACCCATCACTTCCATGACATTTGCAACCAAGGCCTGATACTAAACTTAATCCTATTGTTCAGAGACTTTAACAGCCACAAAGTAGAACATTAGATGTACAATATGTGTGTCTGCGCGTGTGTGCACAGGCGTGCCCTGTACAGATATGACCTACGTGTGCGCTGATGGAACGTGTCTGAAGAAGCCAAACCCAGAGTGTGACTCTGTTGCCGACTGCCCTGACGCCTCAGATGAAAAACAGTGTGGTGAGAAAACACACACACACACACA